TCCTACAAACAATAAATGCTGGAGAGGGTGTGGAGAAAAGGGAACACACTTGCACTGTTGGTGGGAGTGTAAATTAATGCAGACACTATGGAAGACAGTTTGGAGATTCCTTTTAAAATTAGGAATAAAACCACTATATGACCCAGCAATCCCACTCCTAGGCATATATTGAGGAAATCAAACTTGAAAAAGACTCATGTATCCCATTGTTCACTGCAGCACTATTTACAATAGCTAGAACTTGAAAGCATGTCGATGTCCATTGACAGATGAATGGATAAAGAAGTTGTGGTACATATACACAATGGAATGTTACTCAGCCTTTAAAAGGAAGACATTTGAGTCAGTTTTGATGAGGTGGATGAACCTAGAACCTAATAACAGAGTGAAATGAGTCAGAAAGAGAAAGATAAATATGGTGTTCTAACGCATATATATGGAATCTAGAAAAATGGTACTGAAGAATTTATTTATAGGGCAGCAGTGGAGAAACAGACATAGACAATAGACTTATAGGCATGGAAAGAGGGGAGGAGAGGGTGAGATGTATGGAAAGAGTTACATGGAAAGAGTAATTTAGATTACCATATGCAAATGCTGCTGCTAAGTCGCCTCAGTCGTGTCCGACCCTGTGCGACCCCATAGACATCAGCCCACCAGGCTCCCCCATCCCTGGGATTCTCCAGGCAAGAACACTGGAGTGGGTTTCCAGTTCCTTCTCCAATGTGTGAAAGTGAAAAGTGAAAGTGAAGTCTCTCAGTCATGTCCAACTTGTAGTGACTCAATGGACTGCAGCCTATCAGGCTCCTCCGTCCATGGGATTTTCCAGACAAGTGTACTGGAGTGGGGTGCCATTGCCTTCTCCACTATATGTAAAATAGCCAATGGGAATTTGCTGTATGGCTCAGGAAACTCAAAGAGGGGCTCTGTATCAACCAAGAGGGGTGGAGATGAGAGAGAGGTTCATAAGGGAGGGTAATATATGGATACCTATGGCCGATTCATGTTGAGGTTTGACAGAAAACAACAAAATTCTGTAAAGCAATTATCCTTCAATAAAAAAATAAATTAATTTTAAAAAAAGATGCTTAATCTCATAGTTAAGCAGGAAAATGCACATTTAAACTATGATAAAATGCTCTTTTACCCCTTGGATTTGACTGGACAAACTGAAAGTACCTAATGATACCAGGTACTTCCAGGATGTGAATCAAAGAAAACACTTATAAATGATAGCCAGAACATAAAACTGTTTGAAAACAATTTAGTATTAAATATGTACTACAACCCAGGAAATCCACTTCTAGATAGTATACTATTGAAAAGCACTCATCCATATATATAAACAGACATATTCATAACAGCATTACTTATAAAATAAAAATTGTCTTCAGAAGGTGAAAGTGATAAATTCATGTCAACTATCACACAGCAATAAAAATTAGTGAACCAGAGTGACATATACCAAGATGATTCATTCTCATAGACATGTTGTTTTCTTCAAAATCCAAAACAGGTGGTAAAAGAATTCAAACTGCATTATATCATTTTTGTAAAAGTTAAATTACCAAAGCAACATAAAAATATTCTTAGTGAAAGTGCATGACATTCATCAATGTGCTGCTGCTGCTAAGTCACTTCAGTCGTGTCCGACTTTTGTGCAACCCCATAGATGGCAGCCCACCAGGCTCCCCCGTCCCTGGGATTCTCCAGGCGAGAATACTGGGTGGGTTACCATTTCCTTCTCCAATGCATGAAAGTGAAAAGTGAAAGTGAAGTCGCTCAGTCGTGTCCAACTCGTAGCGACCCTATGGACTGCAGCCTACCAGGCTCCTCCATCCATGGGATTTTCCAGGCAAGAGTACTGGAGTTGGTTGCCATTGCCTTCTCCGTTATTAATGTACAAATAAAAACAAAAATTTAGGAATGATGTTGCCTCTGTGGGGTGAGGGAAGAAGAGCTAAACAAATGGCAGAGGAAGCTTCAGTCTTAATCAATCGTATTTTTCTTCTTAAAAGAGATGCATGATTCATACATCAGTGTCCATTGTATTTTGTAGATCATAAATATGCCAATTAATGTTTAAAATAAAAAATAATTATCCAAATGAGTTAACTGTAACAAGAAACCTTCTCTTTAGCTAGAATAGACTGTTAATCTGAGAGATTAGTTTCACAGTAAAGGCCATCGAACAAATGAATTTGAAGAAGAATCTAATGACTCCCATGTCCTGCTCAGTGCTTCTCCCTGTTTTTCAAAAACTAACAGCCCTCCATACCCATATGGTACCCCACTGATGTGGATCCTGTCATCCCAAGCTCCACAAACTCTGAGCTCTTCAGATCTACATCCTCATACATAAAAATTTAACATTTTTAAAATTTCCTTAAGAACCAATATCTAATTAAGTTAGATATTAGATAAGATACTAAGCATTAAGATATTAAGATACATAAATGGTTTTTGTTTATATCAGGAATTGCCAAAGCAACTTCTCTACAACCAGGCCTCTAAAGAAAGTTATTAGAAAGATAGTTGACACCTGACAGTTAATATCACCATAAGTCTTATTTTCAAATAAAGTTGGTCCTGCTTTTCCTGGAAACAGATTATCATCTCAAAATGTAGTATCATCACACTACATTTAGTAGTGTGAATCAAGGGAGTTGATTAACAATTTATGAAATATTTATGGATTTCATATTTAGCCATTGATAGCTGTAATCTGAATAACTGATCTATTAAAACTGCTTTGATCTAATTTTTAGAGTTGTTAATGTTTTGGAATTGGACCTCTGCTTGAGCAACAGCCTAAGGATATTCAGCATTCATCTTTCTCTGGTTTTCAGACAGTCATCTGCATTTCCAGAGGGTTGATGACAGGGCAACTTGGAGTTTAAAGACAGCATCTGTATTTGCATTTCAATAGTTCCATAATTCTTTGGAACTATTGAAATCTCCTCAGTATGCTTCATTGTTTAAATAGTGAAGGTGGCCAAAATTTGTTCAAGATTCATAAATCTTAGAAAAAAGTTGAACCATGGTATTCAAGGCTCATTCTACAGAGAATACTTCCTTCTTATTATTTTTTTTAATGCTAAAATCGTGTTTGTTAAAACCCATAGGGGCTGCATCACAACTGCTTACATTTAAGACGATTTATCCATTTGAACCTCTAGAGTCTGAAATCGAGGTTCTATGATATGACAAAGAGAAAAGGAGTACATATGGCTTGAAATATATTACAGAGGCATCATCGATTTTTAGTTTGTGGTTCCAAAAATATCTTTCTCCCCATTGCATGCATGCTAAATCGCTTTAGTCATGTCCTACTCTTTGACTGTACTCCTATGGAGTACTCTTTGTCCTACTCCTATGGACTGTAGCCCACCTGGCTTCTCTGTCCATGGGGATTCTCTAGGCAAGAATACTGGAGTGGTTTGCCATTTCCTTTTTCAGCGGAACTTCCTGACCCAGAGATGGAACCAGAGTCTCTTGTCTCTTGCATTGGCAGGTGGGTTCTTAACCACTAGCACCACCTGGGAAGCCCTTCTCCCCATTAGAAGGGAAAATTTCGTTTTTATTTAGGAAAACAGTTCCACTTAATACATGGGATATAAGTTCATTGGTAGGTATGTTACCTGTTTGCAATAATCATAAGTTTCCTCATAATTGGTTGTGATTTAACACACAGAATTTTTTTGTCAAATATTTTGGTAAAAGGGAGTTAAATCCTGGAGTTAAAATAAGAAATTCTGAGTTCAGGTGCAGGGCAACTGGGTACATTTCTGAGATGAGCCTTGTGCCCTTCCAATAAGTGTGGGAAAACATTGTCCACTAAATAGTTTTAGGAAATGATTAAATAATGAATATATGTGAAAGTTATGTGCAAACTGTATCCAAAAGAACTGGAGGCCTATAAAAGTGTTGCTGCAACTGTATAATTGTTGTGTGAGGTTATTTATTTATTTTAGATTTTCAATTGCAACCTAAAAATTTTCATATCACTCTGTTCAGCTGAAACACTAAGATGTGGCAAATGTTTATAAGGATAAAACTGTGGGTGAAAAAGCAGAGCCCCAGAGAGCTCAATTCAAAAATTTGCTCTTAAAAAAATTTTTTTTGTCTCCTTGCCCTTTCAGAACCCTTTCTTGGTGGTGTTTTATAACACACTTTTAAAATAACCTGGCTTTTGAAAATATGCTCTTATTCCTTTTCCCTTTTACATGCAAATAATATGATACACTGGAAAGTTATCCTTAAAAAGTTATCACCCCTCATTCATGGCCCACGTAAAGTGGAAAATAATCATTCTTGGTACTCTGTTGATTAGCTGTCAATCTCCAAATTCTCCTCCCAGACAACCCTTAGCAGCCAGAAAAGATGATTTTTGACCTTGAAGATTTTAGCATTGCAAATCCAAGAATATGAGCAAATGCATTTTCTTTTTACTAAACTGTGAATTTGCATCCACCAGAGTGGCATCTGAACATCAATGACGTCTACTGTATTAGCAATGTAGAGAGATGAAGGGACATTCTCACTTATCATGAGGAAACGAAAAGCTTATAGCCTGTATACCACGAAAAGAAAAAAAAAAATGATCTCATGATGATAACTCTTATTTTAAAGAGAGAATTGACCCGTTGGGTTTAGAGAATAAAAGAGAAGTCTAAATATAGCATCAGCCTCGTCAATAGGTTTCTTAACGTATCGCTGCTTTGGGGAGTTTAAAGACGTGTGAGACTTTATATGTCTGTGTGTGCCTTTACGTGAGAGAGGAGATGAGCGTGTGTGAGTGTGAGAATGTGTGTTCCCGGCCGGAGGAGAGGGGGTGGAAGCGTGAAGGGTGGTTGGAAAACCCCTTCTAATTTTGCGCACACCCAGGGCAGCCACCCCGGCCCCAGGAGGAGAAGGGAACGCGAAAGCAGGCACAAAGGTCGTTGCCTTGACTAATGTGAAGAGACTGAACCGCTAGCAGAGACTTTTCTCCTTGGCAGCCAACAACCTGCAGCCGGGAAGGCGGGCGGGGGAGGAAACCCCGAGGAGGCGCTCCCGGCCGCCTCTTTGCTGAGGTAGCAGGAGCGGCAGCCTGCGGAGCCACGGGCGCAGCGTCACCGAGCCGGTGCGGGTGCGGGGCGCTCAGGAAGGCGCAGAGGCCCGGAGGCGCTGGTGCGGCGGAGTCGCCCGCGCTGCAGGACGCCGCGCCGGGGCCGCCGGAGCGCCACGGGCCGGTCGAGCTGCAGGACGAGCCGGCGGCCGCGCGCTGCCCGGCGGCGCCGTGCCTCGAGCACCTGCTTGGAGCCCAGCGGGCGATTGAAAGAACCCGGAGAGCTCGGCCAGTCGTCCTGTTCTTGACAAAAAACAGCCAGAGCCGGGAGAAGGCGACCATTTCAGTACTCCGCCGGACTGGGAATTTGCTTCTCACAATTTGGGAGAGCCCGAGTAGAGGTCAGAGGGGCAGGCGAGGATCCCGAAAAGGAGCCGAGGGCTGTGGAAGTGGTCACCCCCTCCCCTATTGCAGGAAAATCTCCTTGACATGTTTTAGCACTTCGAGGCTGCTGCAGCTGGTGTCGTCGGAAAAGGGGGTGGGAAAAATAAGAGAGGGGGCGGGGAGAGAAGGGAGACACAGCCAAGAGCCAGGAGCAGCGCCTCCTCGCCTGCCAATCCAGGCACCTGTGCACCGAGCCACTGCACCGAGGAGGACCCCACTCCGGGAGAACCCCGGGCTTCAAGCCACGGACAGTCAGCCCCTGGGCAGCGAGTTCTCACCGGAGGGACCTGCAACCGCCCACTCCACCGTCGCCTGCAGCCGCGGGAGCGCACGGCCCCTCCAAACCGCCCGCTGCTTCCCGGGTCCCCGGGGATCCTCGCCTAGGAGAGGCGCGGCAGCGGGCACGGGGTGTTACGAAGTTGGGTGCAAGATTCGCCTTTTCGGCTCGTCTCTTCTCCTCCGGGGATTTATTGTCTGTGGAGCCTTCTGGGGTGGGGAGGGAGCTGCGCCTCCGCCACCGCCGCTGCCGCCTCTGTTGCTGCGGTCGCTTGCGCGGCGCGCAAGGCAGGCGGAAGCTGGGGAGTGGATGCGCTCCTGCCTCCCCCGCCGGCGCTTCGGGCTTCCCCTCGGCCGCTTCCCGCGGAAACCTCTCCAGCTGTCCACCTGAAGGGCACCAGCATCATGGTCTAACGTGGCAGCTGCTTGGAATCCCCTCTTTCTCCTTCTCTTCTCCTGCTTCACCCCTCCTCTCCTCCGAGGACCTCGTGCCCACTCCACTGCGGACCCCCGGACACTTTAAGGAATAACCCTCGGCAGCTGCACGATTCACTTTCTCCGGAACCTCATGGGCAGTTTCTCCCGCCGGCGATGTGAGTATGATACTATTGCTCCGGGGCCAAGGGGGTCGCGGGGGCTTCGCCGCTTGTGGCCGCAGCGACAGTGAGCGCCCTAGGTGAGGGACCCAGGTGGCCGACGGAACGAGGGGCGGGTAGGAGAACCCGAGCCTTCAGCGCTCGCTGGGAGCTGCTTGCCGGGTGGCCCGCGGAGGTGGCGAGGATGTGGTAGATTGCGGGGCATTTAGAATCGCGTGCTTGCTGTTGCGGGTGCTGGGGAGTGCCGAGTGGCCTGGGCTGGCGGGTGAGCTTAAAGGGTTACATATTGCGAAAAGGAAGGCAAAGAGCGATTTTGGGTGCTGGTGCTGAGACCGACGGTTGAGCTGAGGTTGATCATAGTTCTTTATTATCTTGAATATCTCCAGTCAGCTTTTTCTGGAGGCGTCTGAAGGATGAAGCGCTCGTTTGATATTCGTTCTCTCTCTCTCTCTCTCACACACACACAGACACACACAGACACACACACACACACTTGTGGCAGGTCACGTTTGTCCCTTTATCTTAGAAGCTGTAGTATTACTGTGTGATGCCTGTTTGTTCGAAAAATACAATTAGAAGACCTTTATGCCATTGGGAAATGAAAGGATAGGGTGGGGTTTTGGGGAGGGGATGAAGGGGAAGAAAGAGTATAAAAGACTGGAGGACCAAAAGAAGTGGGGGAGCGATGGAGCGAAGCCCTTCTTCCCGGGAGTCCAGGAAAGCGATGTCTCCTTTCCCCTAAGCTAGACAGCTCCAGCCCACACATCTCCTTTGTGTTGCTCGGAGAAGCTGGTGAAGCAGCACTATTGCCAAGCCCAGTGCTGGGCCCCCTTCAGCATCTTGCATCCTCCTTTCAGAGTCATTAAGGATGCAGGACTAGTTTTGGGTCCTACGTGGAAAGAGGGAGGAAAGCACATTAGCATCAGGGTAATATAGCACCTTAGCTCACGGACAATTAAATTCGGTGCCAAAGGGTCTCCTATGTTTACAGTTTGAAGAGTCACGACTGGGAATAAGGGGATGGGACTTTTACAGAATGTCTTTAAAAATAGTGTGACTTCATGATAACGGAGATGGCTGCAAAATTGCTTCATTATACTACTTCTTGGCCATCATAAAGGACCCGCCTCCGCCCTCTCCCTTACTGTCTCCTCCCCATCAAGTCACAAAGCGAGAGGGCTGGACGAGAGGGCGCAGCGCCAGGCAGAGAAGGGAAGGGGTCACTTTAACAACTCCCAGGAATCGGCTTCAAAAAGGAACCATCTGCGACTCCCACGACTCCCACGTTCCTTTAGAACTTCTTCAAAAGAAATTAGAAAACGGGGGAGGGGAGGGTGCGCTCAGTGAGACATGAAGATCCTCCACCTGCTCTTTTCCATTACTTTCCCAATACACTTTCAACACATCGAATTCACCTGCAGTGGTAACTGGGTCACCACGTAAATGTGTACCTGTGTACGTTGAAATGTGGTTCTCTTGGTAGATAAAAAGCAATTCATAAGTGAGCATATTTTAACGTGGGTAAAATTTCTAAGCACAATAGAGATTTTATAGCGTGGGCGAGAAGAGTGCATTCCAGCGAAAGCAGGACACGTGATCTCCAACGGGAGAGATACAGTATTAGGAACTCGATTTTCTTTGTTCCTGGCTGAGCCTATGAGATGCTCAGCATCCCTGTTGCTTAGACCCTCCTGTAAAACGGAAAAATAATAAAGTTGATGAGGGAGAGACTAGAATGTGGGGAAGCACAAGTAGATACCTGTGAAGGGTTTGAACCTTTTGCTTCGCCGCCACCTCTCCTATTTTACTGCCCACCTTCCACCCACCCAGCTCCTCGCCGCCGCTAGCCCCCCATTTAAAAGTGAGACCTTCCTTCCGGGAGACGTGGCGGAAAAGTTCCCCAGCCCCTGTACACGTGGGTTCTCTAGCGCCTCGGAACCTGCTGCGTTTCTCAACAGATTATGCCGCCTCCCCAGTCCAAGTGTCACGCCTCCATCCAGGCGTCTTGAGCTGACTTCACAGACTCTTAAGAGAACCTCCAGGAGATTTTGTGCAAAAGACAGTAGAGCAGAGTCCGTTCCCTGCTTCTTGGAAACCGTTGATCGCACGGGGGAAAGAATGAGAAAGTGGGAATATAGGAATGATTTCATTTTTCCTTAAAAATAAGGCATATGACCAAAGTATGTCGAGAGTGATGTTTAGTGATGTTTGCATTTGGACGCCCAGGGAATGTATCAGGCCTGTGGAATGTCCTGAGGTGTGATTATTTATTAATTTAATGGAAGTAGAATTTGTTCTAGACCCACCATTTAATTAGTTCTCCGACTTGGAGATTTCTTATTTCATTTTTCACTCCATGTTTTATAAGCGATCTTAATGGGCTGAAGTTTTTTGAAATGTGGGTTATTTCTGTACTGTGTTGCATTGCATCATACTAACATGTTGGTAAGGAAAGCAGAGTCAATTTCCATGACATATTATGAAGTGAAAGTTCTTTATGCATTTTTAAAAATACTTGACTGTCCAAGAAAAGATGTGTACTTACCATGGCAACCCTTACATTCCCCATCACGTGTGCCTGCACATTTGCAGCTTCAGAATTAGAAACCACTTCCTAAAGAAATAAACCTGTTTCTGTTACAGTAGCCATGTTTTATTCTGAATTTTAGGGCTGCTTTAGGCTGGCATTAAAATTTTCTTAATTAAAATCCCATTTCACTTTTGTTTGTAAGCTTTAAATTCTTCTGCTTCCTCTATAAAATTCAAAGCATAGCTAAAAGTGTTTTGTGTGTCTATTTTGGTGTGTTTTTTATTTTTTAAAAGTTGCAAAGATGGAAATTAATATCAGTGAATTTTTAGCAATTATAAAATCTTTAAATGACAGTATTATCCACATAGTGTTAATTCTCAGGGCATCTCTTAGATCGCTCTCATTTGCAGTTTGTAGTCCATGGTAATACTTGATATAAAAACCTAGCTTCTTTAAATGACTTAAAATATTCACCTTTTTAAAACACTTGAAAATTTGAAGATATGTTGATGTATCAAAATTACACCTATTTTTACTCTAATTTTATCTTTTGATGACTTTTGCTTCAATATGAGTGGATCCCTCTTTCGATGATATTATCATTTTATTTCATACCCAAAGTAACAATACACAAAGAGTAACCAACTACTAATAAATTACCATCCGAGTTATTTCTGGATCCTTGTTCCCTTTTTTCCTTCACATAAATTATTTCATATTTTTTGGAAAGTTTTTCATTTAGAGAGCATGTGCTATTTGTTGAGTATAATAATTAATAAAAGACAAAAAGACATTACTTGTTTGGGTCTCTCCAGTACCAATGGCTACTTTGTAGAGTATCATCCACATTTCTTTTTGACTGATCTAGTCAGTCGCGTGAATTTGCAAGATGACTTTGGGGGGAACATTAATTCATATCTATGACAAAGAATAGACCTTCAGTTTGTGCCAAGCCAGCTGACCAGTAAGTGACTCATATCTCCAAGGAAGAACATACTGAAGATGATTCTAGGATCTTCCGAGAACCCTGACATTTTTCTCTTTGAAACTCTTTACTACATCAGTATTCAATGGAGGGTTTTTAATGACTCAGGATTAAAAATTGTAATTTTAATATCAAACAGCAGTTTGACCATATAGTGTTGCTATTAAATTATACTCTGAGGGACTACAAAATCAGAAAAGAGATTCCTAGATGATAGGTTTTGTACATATGTTAAAATATTGATTCATGAATTGTCAATGAAAACTCAAATTTAAAAGTGGTACCATAAGTCAACAATATTTGAAAAATAATGGCCACAAATCAGTAATGTTTTTCCTTTACAAAGTTTTTAGCCATGTTTTGTGAATCAGGTTTTAATCATTAGAAATATTCATGTTTTTATAGAAAATACTCTAATGAATTATCCTAAGGTAGTGAAAGAAAATTAAGAAAACCAAAAGTATTATACTTCCAAAATTAACATGTGATTTGGTAATACAAACAAGTCTCCTTTAATGCTGAAAATAGAAGTAGTAATAATTTGTAATTTATAATTCTAATACATAGCAAATAATAAGACAAATGGTACCTTTTAGAGGAGTGCAACATAAACTTTTTGGTGCAAATCAGGTTTTCCATAGTAATGTGTGTGTGTGTATGTGGTTATATGTAGTGATGGAATTTCAAGGTATGCTATTTAAATAGGAAATATATTTATTTCCTGTTTTGGAATTCATTAATATGCTTAAAATTCATGAGCTTTTGTGTCCAAGAGCCAACCCTGATCATCTGGCTTCTCTTAACATAGTGCATAATTATAGTAACAACTACCAGTTCCTAAGTCAGGTGCTTATTTCCAAATAATCTTTAAAGAAGTAATATTATCACCATTTGAAAAATTAGAATGTTTAGATTCAAAGACAGAAGTGATAAGTCCATGTCACAAAGCAATTAAATAGAAGGTGATGAAGATTTAAATTCAGATTTGTCTCCTGTACCTTTTCCTCCATACCATGTCTTCTCCCTCATAGGCAAAAATTGGTACTTGTCAAATAACTGAAATCTGTAGGTCATTGAATTATTTCCTAATTATTTCCTAAAAAAAACCAATATTTTGAAACAGCTTTTCAAAGTTATCAACATATTTGGCAATAATGCACCACATTACTTTTGTGGCCACCTTTTAATATTGGTATAGAAAACACTGCTGCTTGTCTTCCTGGCATAATTAACTCATGACAGAAAAATTTAATAAACTGTTAGAACCTGTCATATAAAAG